AATATACAAAAGCCCAAGCCCAAGCCCATCATCCAAATTGCAAAGTTAAAGCGAGTTATGCAGAACTAACCCCTCAAGTTTGGTCAACTTCCGAATCTAACCCAAACTTAATATATATATATATACACACAAACACACACATCTGACGGGTATTATAACTACACTTTAACACTTTGGTAAACGACTAACCCGTCGAGAATAATCAATTTGAAAAACATAGATGGCAAATTCCTTTATCAGTAACTGTTCCAAGTCTACTTCTCATATCATTCGAATTGACGTGCATTCAATGACTCATCCCCGAGTCCTCGACACTCTAACACTTTCAAAATGATCAACTCGTCAAGAAGTGTTTTTGCTTTATAAAACTTGAATGAAATAGTGGAACGTTGTTATTGCTAAACAACGTCCACATTTCTTCGGTTTATAATCTCACCATTTGTCTCACACCCAAGGTAATGGAATTAGCTACTCATTACTGAAGCTAAATTGCAAGAAATGTAAATAACATAAAATAAATACATAAAGTAATGATTTGAATGTAAAGAGCGGAAATTAAATGACTTGAATGTAAAAAGCGGAAAGTGAATGACTTGAAGTAAAGAGCAAACTTGAAAGTAATTACGATACTTAATATTTAAATTGCTTTGAATCTTAGAGATAAATCAGTTTAGAACTGATTTTTGGATGATTAGAAACTAAGACCGTTCCTCCCTTTTTATACATAAATAGAAGTACCAAAAAAGATAAAACTGGAAACTTGGGGCCAAAGTAATTAAAAAGTCGACAAAAGTACTTTAAAATAACTAGAGTATTACATCAATTCTAACATGTGATTAATAGCCATGAATCTTCCTAACAAGTATTCAGATCATGGTCTAGCTTAGCTCATTAAGCCTTTCAAAAGAACAAGAAAACAAAAGAATCAAATATGTGAAGTGAATTTGGTTAGGACAAGAGGCGAATCCTTAAAAATTTTCAAGTGGTTTGCGCCATAGTACACAACATATCATTTCGTCAATAACTGTAAAGAAGTTTACACATAAACAAAGTTGCGATCAGAATGAATGGTTGTTCGCTGGGCCTGTCTTTTGCTTCATCGTGGCACAAGAATCCACCGAGCTTCAAGTAAATCCCTTTTTGATCGGGCGTTTCAAAACCTTTTGGCTCACATACAAGGGTTATGGTTCTCGAACGTCATGTGTGACAACAAAGTTGTAATGTAATGTTGTTTGTATAGGAGAGGGTGAATTGGGTGAGGGTAGTCGTCGACAACGTGAAATTTGGGGACATTAACCGATAATAACAATGAAAAAATCATTTTACATTTACATAAGAAAATCCACCTCTTTTGTACTACTATTAGGCGACGTTTGGTTCGCTGAATATTCTTATATTGAATGAAATATGTTAAAGAGAATTTGATTTTGAAGGAATTGGAATGAAATGTCGTTAGGTTTGACCACCTGTTTGCTTGATAGACATTGGAGTGGAATCTGTTAAGGAATTGAAATATGTCTGTTTGGTTCACATAACGTAGCTTTGGAATTAGGATGAAATATTATAAATAACCAAATGCCCCTTTTATAAAAATTTAAATGTGTAAAACAACATGGAATACACCCAAATATAACAATAAATTGATATTAAAATTGTCTCAAAATAGTTAAATCTTTATCAGTAAAACAACTAATTCGATGGTGTCGACAGTGGTCGACCGTGGTTCAGATTGACGGTGGTTGGCAGTGATTCAGACCAGTGGTGGTCCGTGGTGGTTCAAATGATGGTGGTCATCGGTGGTTTAGATCGATCATGGTTCAAATAGGCGGTGATCGACGTTGGTTCAAATCGATGGTGGTCAATGGTGGTTCAGATCGGTGGTGGTTTAGATGGCGGTGGTCGGAGGTGGTTTAGATTGGGGGTGGCCGGCGGTGTTTCAGATCGGTGGTTGTTCAGCTTGGTGGTGATCAGCGGTGGCCGACAGTGGTTCAGATCAATGGTATTCGTCGGTGGTGGTTCAGATGGCACTGGTCACAGTGGTTCAAATCAGTGGTAGTCCACGACGATTCAGATGACAATGATTGGCGTCGGTTCAGATCGGTAGTAGCCGACAATGGTTCAGATCGATGGTAGTCAACTGTGGTTAAGATGTCGATGGTCGGGCGGTTGTTTAGATGGCGGTTGTCAAAGGTAATTCAGATCGACGGTGGTCGGAGGTGGGCGACAATGGTCATATTGGGTTTTATGAGATTAGAATATACTGAGTCAATAACATATTTGGTATTATGAAATTAGAGAATTTCATTTCATTAAACTACCATGTAATTTCTAAAAAATGTTTAATTTCTTTATTTATAGAATTTGTAGGATTTTAAAGATTTATTTCGTGAAAAAAAAAAAAAACCAAATACCCCCTTACTGTACTTGAGATATTTAGATATATAACCTTAAATTAATTAGATCCATAACCTCTTCATTAAGATGAAACTTTTTTTTTTGCATATTAAAGATTTAAAATAATTCAGAACAAAATTTCTAAACGTTTATGTACTTGAATGGTAATATTTGTATAGTTTAGGGGTGTTTTTAGTAATTTAATAAAGCTCTTCCCGTTTGAAATGCCCTATAAAACACCCAAACCCTAATGCGCGTGCCGATCTCTCCAACTCCTCCCTCGTATCGCAGTACCGACAGAAACGCCGCTGCCATTTTTGCCTCTAGGTAAACCCTAATTTTCTCTCTCAAACACATATACATGGGGCTTTCTTGCAGGGACAGTCGCTTTTTATCCAATCTCTTGTTTGTATAGTACGATATAGTCTTTCTTTTGTTGAAAATTTTAGTTTCTGATCAGGTTTCATGTCCGTGCGATCTAGCAAGTGCTTATTTTGATCTGGTTGTATAAGCATTGATGATTTCTCTTTGTTTCGATTTACTTTTGGTACCCGAATGATTAGGGCTCTCGTGCTTCGAGTTCGAGATGTATGTTGTTTTAGCGTCTTCAAAACAATGGCGTTTTTTTTATTTCTTACATCCTTGTTGAATTTCTGTTCTTAACTCATTTGTTTCAGTTGTAAGACATAGAAAATGACCACATTGTGATCGCTTATCATGAACACTTGTAAAAGGGGTTATTGTAATTACTAATGAGTTTGTGCCTTTGTATGGAGTCTGTGGGTAAGAAACTTGTGAAGAATCAAAACAGTGGTTTTAAAATGCTATGCTACATGGTCTTCCATTTTGATATAATGTGCATGTTGGTTCATCTACTGTCGTTTCATGAGATTGGACTAGCCATCCTTTTTTACCCAAGTCTAAATTTGGCTGTTTCTTTGTCCTTGTTATGTTATGCACCGATTTTCCAACTTATGCAGCTTGCAGGCATTCAGTTTAGAATTGTGTATGTTAAGTAGGTTATGGTTGGCTTATTGCAAGTAGGTGTTTGTGGCTTGGAGATATAATGCAACTGCGAACATCGATGAACTAAGAGAGCAAATACTATTTTCTCATATTTGAATTCCCAACTGTACTTGATGGCTGATTCCCTTATTATGTAGAGATAATTTTAGTATAGGTACCAAAAGGCGGTATAACTATGTTTTGTGCTGACCAGAGAATTCAAATATTGGTGCCAGAAGCCCACTTCCATCCAAAAATAGTGAAATAAATTACTTTCCATCTTTAAGATAAAAAGATTAATAGCTTCCCCTTCAGGATGGACACCAAAATTCTTTAATACTTGACAAAAATAACAATTTATTGAGTTTCTTATTTTTTTTTGCACTCATCTTGGGGATGAAAATCCAGGAGCACCAAATTGAACAAAAATACAAAAACAAAGAACACCAAATTGCTAATGTTAAGCAAATTACACATTGTTGGTTGGGTTTAGTAAGATGAACTTGAAATGCTTAGAATTCCTTGATTCCCGCCTTATAATAGATGGCTTGCAGTTTTCGCGTGCACATTGTTTTTATACCTATTCAAGGGTTTGTTCTAAACTTGGCTTTAAGAATTAATCTCTGCCATTTTGTTCGATTGATTATCTGGACTACCAAGAATGGCAGTCTCTTGAGACTCATCCATGGCATGAGTTGTTAGGTTACTATCATGACTTACTCCCAACACCAGGTGGCTCAACAAGTGGCAGTTGTGTTGTCATACCCCCAGTCACTGCTTTAATGGTGGCAGCTACCAAATTGATGCCCAAGTTGCATTTGATACACCAAATCAAATAGCAACCACATTATAAAATCGATGCTAATGAACTAAACTGTAATAATACAAACAAAATATATATTCATTTACTAAACGTTATGGCCCATTAGAGATAAAAAATAGATTCATTGCTTTTTGATTGTTTATTCATGACTTGTGGATGGATAATTCTTATTGAAAATGATACAAACAAGAACAGAACACTAGTATATAGCTTCTTTTGACCAGCTTTTGAGATGAAGTTGTGGGTGAGTGATTATGTTGAAACTAATAGCTGTATCAAACATTTCTTATATTGCTCTGGCATAAGCTGGTAATATGTTTAATCTGCAAGGTTTATGAAGCCATACGGGGACCAAATTAGTTCTAAAAAGCACTGTAATGAGTAAGTTTGATGTTTGCAAGCGAGTATTTACGTAATTCTCTTTCTTGCAGTATCTTGAATTTGTTAGGATGGTGAGGGTTAGCACCCTGAATGACGCCCTTAAGAGCATGTATAATGCTGAGAAGAGGGGGAAAAGACAGGTCATGATTAGGCCGTGCTCAAAAGTGATCATCAAATTTCTTTCGGTTATGCAAAAGCATGGTATGCCTTCTTTTTGATATTTTCTCCATTTTTTCATTTTGTCACTGTAGATGTCCAGGCCTGCTTGTCCCCACCTCGACTAATTCCATGGGACCCTGAAAGATATCAGCCAAGAAAATTCCCAGTGGTCCAAACATATCTTTTCTTTATTCACACACTTGTAAATTGACGTCTTAAGAGAAAACGAGTAAATGATGTGTTTGTTTATGCATCACCTTATTCTGCAGGTTATATTGGTGAGTTTGAGTACGTAGATGACCACAGATCTGGTAAGATTGTTGTTGAATTGAATGGGCGTTTGAACAAATGTGGGGTTATTAGTCCACGATTTGATGTTGGTGTCAAGGAAATCGAGCCTTGGACCGCTAGACTTCTTCCTTCAAGACAGGTAACGTTTTTTCTTGAACAATTTTAAAGCCCATAAAAGCTAGAATTTGAAGTAATTGATATAAAAACTTGCAGTTTGGTTACATTGTGTTAACCACATCTGCTGGAATCATGGATCATGAAGAAGCTAGAAGGAAGAACGTTGGTGGTAAAGTGCTCGGTTTCTTCTACTAGAGCTCGAGATTTTAGTTATTTTGCTGGTAATGATTTTATTAGACTAGACAGCGAAAGAAAGTACGTTTTTATTTGGATATGGGATTTTGTCAAGTCAATCATGGTTTTGATTTTTGTTTGTTTGGGTTTCATTTTTCTCGGTTCAGTCCTTTGTTATGATCGTTTGCAAGTTCTTGAGAACTAAGGTAACGTAATACAGAAGGCAACACATGATTCAACATTCGTTAAGACGAGCATGATTATGCATAAAACCAATCACAGAATCTATAACCCAACACGGTGGATCAAACGTGCCAAACCACACAAGAGGATGGACGATCGTTTGCGCACTCTATGATCGTTTGATGTATCTAGAGGTGGTAATGTCTGATTAACCGGTTACGAGGAAATGGTTCGATCAAGGACCGATTGGGACTGATTTAGGAGTTAGGCTCGGACCGTACCACTTATGGGATTTTAAGAGTGAGTTGAGTTATGAAGGGCTAGTTATTCGGTCCAGTAACGGTTACGAGACCAATTAAAAGGGTTGAAAAAGAGGATTTTATATTCAAACACATTTGTTAACAACCGGAAGATACTCGTGTAATGCGGCAAAATATATTTTGATTTAGATGTTTCATTTTATTTTTTTTGATCTCTGTCGATGTTATAATATGGAATCATGTGGTTTTGAGCTAACAATAATGTTTTATTTTTTAATAAAATATAAATCTAAAGAAATCATAAAAATTAGAAAAAATGTAAAAGTTTTCAATTTTTTTGTAATTTATTTAATTTAATTTAGGTTTAATGACGAAATAATTTATTTTAGGTTTAATAATATAATTTTTATAAAAATAATAATTAAGTATTTTATTAGAACTCGATAATTATTTTAATTATATTTTAAATTTTATATTCAAAATGAGAATTTTATCTTGTATTTGATTATATTTATTTATAATTGGTTACACGAATTCAAACATGAAGCTTAATAGGTCGTACTTACGTACAATTTACTTGTAATCTTTAATTTTAAGTAATATGCATCAATAAACAATACAAAATATAAGTTTTAAGAGTTTTTGTCAAATGCTTTATAATATAGCATAGATAATGTTATAAAACTAATAGTTCATGTATAATTAAAACAACGACATTAAAAAGGCCAACCGTTTAGGTGAAGGGGTCCTAAATGAAAGGTTGAGGGATTTGTCTGTCCAGTTATGATCATACTTAAGACAAGTCAAATGACCGGATAACTGAAATTCCCATCTATAATCGACAATCTGTCAATGTCTACAAGAAAACCGTTAAAATGAGCGTCTAACACACCTTTTGGTATCAAGTATTCGGAAAAGCTCAAGCTTCAACAATGATAAAAACGACATATAAAACCTTTCTTTTTTGCATATCATCAATGTAAAGTTGTTTTTTTTATTTATTTATGAAAACCCAGATGTCTCATAATCCAATATATTTTATAACGTAACAAATGTTTCATAATTCAATATAAATATATGATGGTATAAAAAGCTTCTAAAACAGGTGTTATAAGTTGCAACATATATTAAATTGATGGTGTGTAACAAAATACTCGAAAATGTTTGATAATAATTCATTTTCTTGTACAACATTAACATTAAAGAAAGAAAAGAAAAATAGAAATATTCAATTCTTCTTGTATTTTTTTTGCCAAAGGTTGTGTAGTTGCCCTACTACTCACATACTTCATTCACCACCACCACCGTCCACCACCCTCCTCCGCTTGGTGGTGGTGGTGGTGGTGAGCTTGAACTTCACCGGAGCTTCATAATAATAGAAAAAGAAGAAGAGATGGGATAGTCATGAAAGTGATCAAATATTTGTTTGATTTTAAAGAATGAGTTCTTTAGTTAGTGGTAGAGTATATCTTACGCATATTCTTCCACCATCAACTTTATATATATATAATATATATTCAGACCAACCTGTTTTTTGAGATATGTGAGACATTTTTTTACACTTGAAACTTTACAACAAAACGTTGTGTAAAATAATAATCACAGCAAGTGATGAATCCAAAAAATTAATGGGGGTGGGGGCACGTTGGATGAGACTTGGGAGAGACAAGCATATGGCCCTATGAGACTGGGGAAAACCATGTAAGACGAGGGTAAAAATAGAAGATTTAAGCTAGTCAACAAATGTTTTTGGTATTTGACTGAGAGCCTTTCCCTTCAGTCCTTAAAGGCTAGATCCGTCACTGTTCACAACAAAGCTCTGTGAAGGTAACCTTTACAGCGTTTTTGCTGTGAAGGTTCGACTTCTTTTTTACCTTCAAAACATTTTGCTGTAAAGTTTCAAGTGTAAAAAAGTTGTCTTACGGGTCTCACATGTAAACCTAACCCAACCCAACCCAACCCAACCCTATATATGTATGTATTTATTATAAGTAGTATAATTATAACTAATAAAAGGATTGTGAACATGTAACAATTTTATTTCTCTGTATTTGGGAACTTTGATTTTTGGTTTGTAGTTCGTATAATTAAACTTGATTTTCCTATTTGATGTTAACTATTTAAATGATTTATCACGCATATCCAAAAAGCAGACGGTCTCGTAGCTCAGTTGGTTAGAGCGTTGGTCTTATGAGCCGAAGGTCGCGGGTTCGAGCCCCGCCGAGACCAAATATAATATTATTGTTTTATTTTAATTAAATAATTTATTACTTTGTGCACTATCTTTGTATGTGTATTAATTGTCGTTATAGGGACTTTTATTTCTTATTAGGGTCCCACGTATTTGAATCCTGAATTTATAAATAACTAACATCATTTCTTAGACATTCAACTCACCCAACTTCCATTGAATAAGTCATAGCATTTCGTTCTCAACTCCTTAATTATCCATTTTTGTCAACAAATTGTTATTTATCTACAACATTTTTTAGTACACGTTACTTTATTCAACACGATACAATCTATATCTATAACCGGTTAAGAGATCGAAATTCTAAAAATAAAATCAATTACCATAAGGTTAAGGGCAAAATACGCGAAATATCAACTTACTTTTTCAAAATTTCTTATTATAACATTTTACTTTTATGAACTTATAACAAACATGGTTAATGATAGAATTTAGATCAGTGAACATAATTTTTGTCATCCGCCAACCTTATATCTATTGCATTTTTCTCAACTTGAACTTCATTCCTTCTAGGCATAACTTCATTGTTCTTAGCTATAGCTTGCTCATTTTTTTACTAGCCTTGAGTAGAGTCTCTAGTTTATTATTAGATTGGAGCCTTGATTCTGTCTTTTTCACACTAATTGATCTTTGAGTCGATGCAGTGATGTTTGATAAACTCTCGAAATCTTTCATGAGGTGCAGACATGACCAAACTTAAACCCCTTCTTACATGATACATCTAGTTTTAACATCTCTTTCGCTTCGTTCATCTATGAAAAATACATGTTATATTTAAATTCATAAAACAATGATCAACTAAAACAACAAATACTTACGATATTTTGTTCAGAAGCACCACTTGGATTGATGTTTTAAACTTGATTGATACACCCTCGTAGTTTTTTGACAGCTTTCAGAATGCAAGACATTCGCGTTTCCAATTATCTTATTGGTTGCGAACGGTTCAGTTGTATGATATCGAGTTTTTATTATTGTCCAAAACTTATCTTTTAATTGGTTTCTATTTATTATTGATTTTAATATATATCAAGATAACAATGATATAAATGTATACGAGTATATCTTCATTATCTTTGTAAGATAGTCTAAAGCGATTTTAAACTTGATATTAGGCAGTCAAAAGAGAGGAAGTAGGAAGTTTTAACTCCCTACGGTGCACGAACACAGTTACTACAGTAGTCGGTCACGTCGTTCATATTAAAACTCGACAGCTGTCTACATCCTAATCTCGTGCGCGTCAACACCGGAAACTTTCTCTGTCGGCCTCATTGTTTTCTCCCCATTTTTTGCGAAATTGCTCAGGGGAGTGACCGGCGTACTCTCCGGAAAACAGAGGCACTTAAAAACAGGGAAGTGGCGCGTCTTAGCCCACCGTCGTCGTCGGGAGGCGTATTGTTACTTTTGTCATATGGTACTAACATCCGACTCTTGATCTCCAATGGCAGATCTCTGATCTGGTGTGTGTATCATGTCGATGGCGTACCTTGCTGTTAAATTCATTGATTGGATGTCTGTTTCTAATTTGTGAATCGTTGTTTTGATTGTTTTCGCAGATATAAGCGTGTATATACGCGATTTTTAGGGTTTTTTTTAATCGACTACATTTTGATTCTTCGATGGCCGCTCCACCGGCAAGGGCACGAGCAGATTATGATTACCTTATTAAGCTCCTTTTGATCGGCGATAGCGGTTAGTGCTTTGTTTCCTTATTTTATATTTGTGTTCATATTTGAATAGTTTTGTATACGGATTCTGTGGTTGTATGTTGTTGAAATTAGTTAATATCTTTTAAGTTGCAAAAGTGGTTTTAGGTATTGTGAATGTGGTTTTTGTATTGATCTAGGTTGATTTGGTGCAATTTTTCACAATATAGTGTTTTTTGGTTGAATGTTTGCTTTCTTGGTCGTTGAGGAGTTGTTTCTGTAATACATGCTGTAGTTTTCTTGTTGATGCTTTAGTATTATGTTTGTGGTTTATTCTGAATTTTTGAATTTTGATAGTCTCTACTTTATTCTGAATTTTCCAACTGGTGACCGGTTCTCCAATTTCAAGGTGGTGATTTTGGACCAATAAAAATAATGCATGACGTGTGTCAACTGTGAAACGAGAGAGGGCATTAAGAAATAAGAATGAATGTCTGGCTAGCGGTGTTGTTTTCCGTAAGTGATAAGGAGAGCCTGACCATAAGGATGTATCATTTAACATTGACGTTTTCGCTTTGCTCAGTTGTCATGAACGGTCAGATGGTAATTATGAGAGATCTAGTGATAAATGGAGGAAAATAATATATATGGGATATAATTTCCTATATTTGAGAACTAATGAGAAATGCACTTCACATGAAAATAATGTTAGGACTCTAATTTTATGGATATTTATCTCAACTTCTGAATTTTGGTGGACACAAAAAATATTGTATTGGGTTAACGCTTTTTACTATACTAAGCAGGTTCTTGGGTTCATATTTCCTAATATTTTTGATACAACTAAAGTCGCAGCATGTGCATTACCAATTCAAAGCACAGTGATTTATGACATGATAGATATGTGCAAGGGTGGTGAGGATAGAAATAGCAATGGAAGAATAGAGACATTACATGATTGGCCAGGAAGTCAGGATCTTACTATATTCAGCCATAAAATTACTCTATGCTATCATGGTGAGAGAAATATATGGAGGAGTATGTGTAGATTTCTAGACATAATAGAACAAGAAAACAATAAAAAGGAAACTTTATTGTTATTCTAACTAATAAAGCTAACAATTTGCTAATAACAACCAAAAAGTTACTTAGTATCTTTTTTCTTTCATAAAGGGGTATTTCCATGGGTTTGCCTCAATATCGATATCATCAAAACCTTTAGAGTTTAGACTTGTCCATGATTTAACAAAGACAAACAATTCGACAAGGAAATGGGATTTTCAAGAGCTGGAATCTTATGATATGTTGGGAGAAGCATATAGCGCGAAAGAGTCCAAATACAAGAAAGGCAGATGAAGTAGGTTGTAATATGCCTTGACCTGCTTTGATTTGAGGCAAGAGGTCCACTAGGGATATAAAATTGTTTAAGAAACATGCAATGGCTTCCACACTTGTTGGAGTATTTATTGTACATAGTTTTCTATATAACACTTACCCTAATTGTTCCTTCAAGTTTATCCCAAAATATAATACATAATTTCCAAAATGTTATTTTTTTGAATTTTCATAAGTGCTCTTGTCCTCCCCATAACCTCATAGGAAAAAAGCTAGATCAAGTTTAATATTTGCAGATAATTAGAAACCAAGAAAGCTAATGCATCCCTGAAATCTTGAAGATATATGTCATATGTTCTTCAGCTCAACGTAACAATGACTTCTGATTAGTCGGTGGTGCAAGTAAGTGAACCAGGAACCAAAATTCAATGTCCTCGAGACTGAAATTCCAACTTTTCAGCTGTATATTCAAGATCCTTGTTTTTTCTGTTTTATCAATTGTCATCTTTGATTTAACATTTTCCTCTTCGTGAGTTTTGGCTGTATTATTTTTGGTTCAGCTGATTTGACCAAAGAAGTTTGAAACTATTCCCGTAGCTGTTTCTGGAATTTCTAAAATCAACTACTACTGATGGTTCCTTTTCCTAAAAAAGTTGCATGCTGCATGCTAGGTGTTCTCGTATCTATATAAGTTTGTTCCTTTATCGTAAAGTTGATGTCAGAACAGCTTGTGAGGAGAAATAAGGGTATGTGGAAAAGGAACGGATAGAGGAGGTTAGGTGATTATGTTTGTTGTGAAGCTGGTGCGTTATGGGATAGAAAATTGATATAATTTTGAAGTTCGAAGAAAAATCAAGGTTTTGGCTCTTATACCTGGCGTAGATTAGGAGGCATAATAGATAAAAACATCATTATACTTTTACACGTATTTCAATTACTTTGTCTTTATCGTAATAGAAGATTTATCAATCACATATTAGTACTCCCATAATTATATCAATGACATCATTCTCGTCCAATTTTAATCAAATCACCTAACATTAATCATCACTAATGGTTGAGATGTTAGCATGCTCTCTGTCATCTTCTTCTTTTTCTCGTCTTTTTGACTCAATTTGACCTATCATGCTCCTTAATTTGACTTAAATGGGATGAGAATGATGCAAGTTATATAATTATCAAGTATGGTGTGTGGTTGATACATATTTTTATTGAGTGTGTAATTGGAAAAATCATGAAAGAACAGAAACATTCTTGTCTGTTTCTATAGGATGGGATAGACAAGTGGATGAAAGGATCAAAGAACAATAAAAGCGGGTTAACACCAACACTAGCAAGGGGCAACTAGAGCAAAGCTCACATATAAACAATCATAAAATCACTATACTGTGGTGATGGGTGATTATATCACTATATATAAGACCATTAGACATCAGTGTTCTGAACTTTGCATAGAACTAAGAAACAATAAAAGAGAACTTATTTATCCTAATACTATTTTGACCAATTAAAAATAAATGATAAAGCTGCTAATCATCGTAGTAATAACCAAAAACAAACCAAACGAACCTAGTATATCATACACAGAGGTAGGATCTGGGGGTAAGATATACGCAGACCTAGCCTCTACCCTCAAGGGTGAAAAACGAAGGAAACAAGGATTTGCATTCACGATGTTGTCAGTTACTCCTATTGAATAAATAAATTCAGACTTGTTTTTAAATGGTAATAATACATAGTTTTTCAAAACATAATTTCTTTGCATTTCTTTCACTGCTGTCAGCCTGTGCCTAACTGTTATCTGTTAGTGTTTATCTCAAATACGTGTAATCGCTACTGCTTGGATTGAATGTTTCAGAATTTCATGTCTTAGCCATATGCGACTGATGAAGATGTTATACTCATCATAAAACAGTGTCATGAGGTTCAAGTACAAGCTCTTGTTTTGGGCATTAGCCTGATAGTTTAATAAGAAAACTTGTTCATTCACTACGAAGGACGTAATTTCCCTTGCTCCTCTTAGTTGAGATACAAAAGGGCCTGTTTACCCAAACACTTACTTGTAAGAGTCAACACTGTAACTTACTTTACCGGGTTGATTGTAGTACATCAAAATGGTATAATGTGCAACAATTTACCCGGTAAGCGCTTAGCAGGTGAGAGTCGTCACCCTTACTTACCGGGTAAGACTCTCCATCCTTATCATCGCTCACGCCCGGTAAGATTCTCGGCCCTTGCCATGTTCATCCGTTAAGGTAAATGACCCGGTAAGTTTAGTAAACGGCCCCTAAGTGTCTTCTCCATGACTCTTCTGGATCTGTATGTTCTTCCTTCTCTTCCTGCTAATATTCTCTTTTACAGCAGAAGGTCATAGGGATCTCATTTTTTAATCAATAATGTATTGTCTTCGAATTTTAGTAGGAGCAACTTACTTTCAAAGCCATTTCTCATCAACATTCCAACCTAATCTTATTTTCTATTTTTTGAAACACTTTTTCTGTAGTTATGGTCGATGTGCCTTTGTGAGGTAACATTAATGTTCTGAGCTAGTTATCATTAATCACAGTGTGAATATCTGCTGTTTCTTTTACAGGTGTGGGGAAGAGTTGCCTTCTTCTGCGTTTTTCTGATGGTTCATTCACTACTAGTTTTATCACTACCATCGGGTGAGTTGATTTCATAACTACTGCATGAAACTGTTGATTATTAATTTTCTTTCAGACATCACTAAGTTCTTGCTACAGTATTGATTTTAAGATAAGAACCGTTGAACTTGATGGCAAGCGCATCAAGCTTCAAATTTGGGACACAGCTGGTCAGGAACGATTCCGGACAATCACAACTGGTACAACTTGGTTTTCTTCTATCCTTGTAATTAAGATGAAAGAACTGGTCTTCACCGAGAATTTGTCTATATATCGTCAAATATTTATAAATTTAATTATGCTGTGTTTCATATTATAATGCTATGTAATTTACACTTTGGTTCCTCCAAACTCCAGCTTACTACAGGGGTGCTATGGGTATTTTGTTGGTGTATGATGTTACAGACGAATCATCTTTCAATAGTAAGGTTTTCTTTCCTCAACTCTTATAGTTGAATTCAGCTTACTCCTTATCTCACAACTCATTCTAATTAGCTTATTGGCCATCAGTTATTAGTGAGGGGTGTCATGTAGCCTACTTTGAGCTAAACATGATCGGGGGTATGCCCCATTAGAATGGCATCCAACACAACTTACTTTGCTCAAAAAATCTGTCAAGGGATGGATAAGTGATTGTACCATACAAACCTTTATGGTGCATTTGGTATGCGGGACAAGATGGGCCACCACAGAACAAAAACCTGTCGTCCCATGTTTGGTACGACATAGACCAAGACTAGACAAGACCGAGTGGGATAAAAATGTACTTTTTTTGTCCCACCAACAAAAATAAAGGAGACGAGACAAGACCAGTAAATTACTAAACTACCATGTCAAATTAAAACACTAGAACCTTCCACAATTCTTTCACCTGCCTACCTTACTCTTGTCTATACTGTTCAGTACCCCTTTGCATACCAAACACATCCTTGCATTGTTTCGGCTAACATAGAATTATTCTGGACCTTCTATTGATATTCTTCTCTAATATGCACGATGATGCCACATATATGTTGGCTCATTGTGATGAATCTCATTATTTACCGTCTTTGCATCCCGGTTTGCCAGACATAAGAAACTGGATTCGCAACATTGAACAACATGCCTCAGATAATGTCAACAAGATCCTGGTTGGGAACAAGGCTGATATGGATGAAAGTAAAAGGGTATGCCAGTGTGTGTATTTGTGCTTTTTGTAGCTACTTTGATCAAAGTTTATCCATCAAGAAACCAAAAAACCTGACATCATCACATCTTCTTGTAGGCTGTACCAACCTCAAAAGGACAAGCACTTGCCGATGAATATGGCATTAAGTTCTTCGAAACTGTAAGTGAAACCAGCAAACTCCTTAGATGGCTAAGAGAGAGTCTTGAATAATTTCCTGTTTTTGGCAGAGTGCAAAAACAAACCTAAATGTGGAGCAAGTTTTCTTTTCAATAGCAAAAGATATCAAGCAAAGGCTTTCAGACACCGACTCCAAGGCCGAGGTATATCGTCACAAAAGGGGTTATTTAGGAGAATGAGAATAACCTTCTAACATATTTTCTTTAAATGCATGACCTTCTAACAAATTTTGGAACACCTCTTCCTAACAGAAGAATATCTCTTCCTAACACAAGAATTCCTCAAAATTAGTATATATATATATATATATAGGGTATATTTCAAATGCAACCATGTTCATTTGTACAACCAATGCAACCCAATCAATTGAGATATTTGTGGAAATGATAAGAGTTCATTTATTATGATTTGAATATTTATGGAAGATGATTAGAGTTCATTAATTATGATTTATACTTCATATTAGGAAATAATCAAACTTTTATGAAATCACATATTCATCAAATTAAATGGACAGTTGAGATTGAGTTGTATTGGTTGTACAAATGTGAAGGGTTGCATAATAACTCACCCTCTCTCTCTCTATCTCTCTCTATATATATATAGGATTATAGGGGAGTAATCAAATGTTAACCCCATATTTTGTGAAAACCGTGAGAACTTTTACCTTGAGGTATTGTTTGATTTGTTCTACATGACGATTTTTCATCTAAGATAGGGGGATAATCTTTTGAAACCCCATATATTCAATGGCTTATATTTGAAACTCCCCTCCCCTCTCTCTCTCTATATATATATATATGTATGTATGTATGTATCAGGAAGTTTTCAAAATAACACTGTCAAAGTTGCTTCAGAAATACGACCATTTAATGTCTAACAAAACTGCTGTAACTAAAACAAAAGTGTCCTGAATCCTTAAAACTACAAAGCTGATAGATAGGTTTGATTTTGAATGATTGCAGCCATCGACGATTAAAATTAACAAACCAGATGCAGCAGCTGGAGACGGTCAGCCCACACAGAAATCAGCATGCTGCGGTTCTTAAACGGACACAGAATTCTCCGTGGTGCTGCTCCGGTGGGGGGAAATGATGGTGAAACTAACTGTGACAACAATATGATGATGATGATGGGAGTGCTTGTAAACAACTTTATCTCCCATTGAATTGGACCCTTGTGATAGTATGTGAAAGGTAGGAGGTTCTATTATTTCGAAAATCATTTTTCTAGTTCTGTTTCACATGAAGTACGTAACGCCAATATCCCTTTTGTTTCATGTTTGTTTGTATTGTTCTTTTTCTTGCCATATCTTATCTTATAGCACTACCAATGGTATCTAGGAAATACAATGATTGTAACTATACTTATTGTGAGATCTTGGTCTTGTTATTGGCGTAAATGCCCGTTTCTCTTGTTCATATCGAGTCCACTTTCGTTATTGGTGTAAATGCCTGTTTCTTTTTTCATATCGACGGCCCACTTGGGATACTAGCTATCGTCCTATCCTAGAGGCTACCTTGTTAAGCAACTTTACCCTTAATCGGCTACCTTAATTCATCGTCTCTATAAGTGTTTTTATTAGAGGTCATGTTCATGGCAACGGCTAATGCTGCTGCTATGTCTGCTTTCGGTTTCTCATCCTATGGCCTCATCGGTTTGCCTCCTTACTTCCAGGGACGAACCTTTTGTGGGGGGGGGGGGGGGGGGGGGTTGTTGTGGCACATGCACCATTTCGTTTTTCGGTCGTAGTGTAAAAATACAGGGTCGTTAAAAGTGTGACCGCATATATTTTAAAACCACAATAAGGACACACGCAATCTCTGGTAGAGTTGCTTTGCATGAGTTCTGTCCACCCAAGGTTCGAGTTTGAATCTTGTTAGTGTTATTTTCTTGGGTTTTTTAACTTTTAATTTTAGATTTATTATGTTTTTTAAAAGAATTTGTAATAAAAAAACTTGAACACGACCACATAGGAAAACAATGAACTAACCAACATATCAATAATAATTTTATGAAAAATATCCTTATATTTGTTTCTTATACTCAAAATATGTCACCGATTGATTTTTTTTAGGTCCGTCTCTGCTCACTCTTGTGACCGAAATGCTTATAAACGTGTCCAAACCACCATGGTCTTTCCTAGGGCTGGCAATGAGTTAGGTTGGGTTCGGGTTCGGGTTCAACCCATTTATTAAACAGGTTGAAAATTTTAACCCAACCTAACCCATTTAATTAAATGGCTGAGATTTTTCTACCCAACCTTTTACCTAAATGGGTTAAGAGCGGATTGACCTGTTTACGATTTTCTTAACCCAATCTGTTAAATAAATGGGTTAAAGCTGAGTTGACCCATTTAATTTTAAAATTTTAAATATAAAAAAACTAGACTATTTAATTTTTTTTTGAATAAAACACAACCACAAATACAAACAAATTGTTCAAAGTTTGAATAAAACACGACCACAAGAAATATATTGTTCAAAATAAGTTGGATTGGACTTTGGATGCGATAATGGAGTAATGGAATAAAGAGTTTTCTTAGGGTTTCATGATGATTAAGAGTAATGGAGGCGATTGGAATTTAAAGTTTCATCTCACAAAGATAGGATTTTTAATTAAGAATAAAACAAAATAAAAAATTAGAATACTAGATATAATATTAAAAATAAAATAAAATTATATAATATTTTAAATGGGTTGAAAACGGGTTGAAAAATTCAACTAAATCCAACCCATTTATTTAAATGAGTCATGCAGGTTGACCCATTTCTTTAAATGGGTTGAAAATCTCAACCCAACCTGTTAATTTTGGATTGGATTCGGATTGGATCTTTTTTGCCACCCTAGTCTTTCCTCCCTCACTTTATCCATGCTAGGTGCCACCCGTAGCTCCATTTAAAAGACCTTGTTCGGTATCTGATATTGTAGCATATCCTCATTTATGCCATTTCCAACTCCCTATGTTGTGCCTTATTTAGCATCGAAACACTTGGAGCCGAACTATCTTATGGTGTCTAAATCATGAAATGGAACCTTTACGTATCCTCAACGTGTACGTAACACCCTCAAATCTGAAAAGAACGACTCATTTAAAATTTTGATAAAACATTAGATAAGTAATTAAATCCCTTTCTAAAGTCGACGTTGATCACCTACAATGGCGATCGAAGTTTTAACATTGATACATAATATTCCAAAACTTTACAAAAGACTATATTTAAGGCGGGTGTTACTAAAACCTATTAGTCGTTATTATCTTCAAAGTACGGAAGACGTCACCGATTAGCTAGATCTTTCTCGTGCCTCTAGCTAGCACTCAATTCAACACAATGTCGATAGCACCAATCCCAAACGAGGACCTGATGTACATGCCGGTAAATAAAAATGTTAGATTTGATGCTTAGTGAGTTCAAACAATTTTATCTTTAATATAAAATAGTAAAACTAGGAAAATATGTTATTCAAATCACAACTCCAAAACGAAATATATTTAAAATAAAAACAATATCTTTTTCAAAACCATTATTTTAATGATAAAAACCTGGTGCCCAAGATACCCATTTTAACATGAAGTCAAAATCCAGTACTCACCAAAAACGTGAATAAGATTTAAGATTCAAATATTGAAACATGGATAAAATTCTATCATCCAAGACGACCAAAGAACATGGAAAAGGTTTAATGCCCAAAACAATAAAGCATGAATAAGTTCCAAGATACCCAAACCATGAAGTGTGGATACACTTCATACCCAAAACAACATTGAAGACATGGATAATATAGTATCCAAATATAACACATTCTAGTGACAGGGGAGACTTGTTTCCTTCAAGTGGCAGAAAACTAAGTAAGCCACATCGAGATATTGACGAGCAAATCACCCCCAACATACAAACCTTGGTAATTATTTGAGGTTTAGACAAGAACATCAAAACTCCTTACTTAGTCATTCCCCAAGTTACAAGTTGAGAACATCAAAACTCCTTACTTGCTCTGAAGATTCTAAAGAGAGGACATCAGAACTCCTCTGTCCCAAACCATTGATATCAAGAAGAGAACCTCAAAAATTTCTCTCTTGTCACAACCAAAAAGGCCCAGACTGAGAATATCAAAACTCCTCATTATGCTAAACCTTATGGCTTTGAGTCGAGAACATAAAACTCCTCGCTTAGCAAAACACGACTGACACATATGCCTATGGATTCAATGCATTAATGCCCAATTTACATGACTCTAAATGAATTAGCAACACATTCAAAACATATAATTCTCAAATAACAATGCAATATCTTTATAAAAATGTGAATATCTTTATCATCAGTTCAAACGTTGGGTAAAATCTCAAAACACATCATAACTTCAAGAAAACATTTCCAAATAAGTAACAACACCCAAAATGTGTCCAACAACTCGAGCATATACATTTTCGAATGATTTATAAAAATCAAAATACGGAAAGGGTGTTAACATCGAATAATCCCATATGAAGAATAATTCAATCAAAAGAACACACGCTTATGATTTATTTATCAAAAAGTCTAAAAATCCCATATACATATATACTTCTCAAGACCAAATGTGTAAAAGATGCAAATCTATCAAGTAATCGACAACATTTGATAAATCTTAAGGTATGCACTTCAAGATTCCAAAGTTAACAATTTTGACATGTACAAAGTTTTCACAAAACAACTTGAACTCATATTGCTAGGTTAAGTTAAACCCAGCTTCCCAAAGATAAGGATTTAAGATCCCCAAACAAGTACACTTTTATAACCCATTCTCGAAGATTCATCATTTCCTAGCAAAAAAGGTAAAAACCTGTAAATCTCACAAAATAATCAAGTTGGTCAAGATCTATAAATATGCAAAATATGTCAAGAGGCAAGTTCTAGGAAACTGAAATGAAAGGTTTTAACATGAATAACAGTTTAGAAATGTTAGGATGAACTTACAAATTGGTTTTCAGGCCCCGGGTTCAATCCTGCTTCACTGGCGTGAAGGCCGGGTGCGAAGAAAAACTGTCCAAAAATGATTTTTTCTTAACTATTTACTATCAAGTCTAACCAATTCAAGATAGGAACTAAGGTTTATTCTAAGGTCAAAGATGCATTTAAAACCCGTAAATATACACACAAAAATTATGGTGTTACATGTTACCGGTCATAAACTTGATTTGAGGAAAAAACGGAGTCTTTGTCTAAAGAAATGCGTTGAGAAAGGGCAGATGTATAGAACTTTTCAACGAGATAGTGCTTATTCAACTCTCTCAAAATGGAATCTATTCCAAACATATATGCCATGGTTCTTTACTTCGACAGGGTACAGATATCTAAAGTTTTTATTTTTAGATATTTTTTCAGACCTATTGCCGATACTAAGTAGCAGTCAAAAATTTGTATCCATTTTTCATGATATTATGCATGGATCATGGCGAATTCTTCAGAAAAAATTCTGTCTTCCACAATGGAATCTGATTCATATGTAATAATGTCAATCCAGAAGCACCTAATCAGATAAACTCCCATCAATGCTTTTAGTTGATGCTATAAGCCTCGTGTTTAGATCATCAAAACTCCCCGAATTTCTGTCGTGACGACAAAACGTTCACCTTTCGAAGAAAAAACTACCTTTCAAAAGCCTCTGTGAAGTATTATTGATGAAACAACTTTATTTTGGATAAAAAATGCAACTTTAAAAACTTAGATTTTGGAGGAAATTAAAAAATACAGAGAAATAAAGAGTATATAGCTTGGATAAGATGGCGTGAGAGCTCCTTTTTTTTAATTTATATTTTAATCTGTGAGGGTATCATGAAATTAACTAAAGAACAGTATCAGTTTTTTCAATGAAATTGTTCATTCTAATCTTAGAGAATTGTAACTGCTCTTATATTAAATGCGAGATTTAACATGAAATGATTGTTGTAGTAATTAATGGGCAGTTAATTACACAAATTTATAAATACAACAGTTACAAACTACTTAAACAGATCAGAAAACAACTCAAAAGTACTTCAGAGCCAGAAACCCTCAAAGTCAGAAGTCTCTGAATCAAAAACACTTTCGAATCAAAAGCTTATGAACAAACTCAAAGGCTTCTGAAGAGGACTAAGGGGTCGTTTACCAAATACTTATCCGGTAAGCACTTATTGGTAAATTTCAACATCATCATTACTTACCGGGTAAAATTTTAGTCAACAAAAACGACTTTATATGCAATAATTTACCCGATAAGAGCTGATCGTAGAAAGAGTCAGTGCAAAGTCACATACTGAGTAAGATTTTCGGTTCTTGCCTCGCTCTTACCGCATAAGATTATTTGTCTTTCCCATATTCATCCGATAAGGTAATATAACTTGATAAACGCTTACCCGAGTAAGTATTTGGTAAACGGCCCCTAAGAGGCTTCTGGATTTCACTTAGGATATTTAGAAACTCATTCTCCTAAATGCTTCTCTTCATAAGAGCATCCACAATGGAGGTTGCCGTTGAGGTTCCTCTTTAGATTTTTACAAGAACCTCCACTGTGGGATATAAGTTCTTGTTCAGTCACGTATTCTTTATTAGAACTCAGGTGGTTGAACACGAACCTGAGTTCTTATATACATTTATTTTTTTGTTATTATTTTATTTATTATCTTTTTAACCATTATTTAAATAAATCTATAAAATATATAAATTAAAATTGATATAAAAAATATAAACTAATTATAATAAAACAATTTTTTTTAACAATTTTGTCTTATTTTTCATTTATTGTAAATTTTTTTACATGTTTTTATATTAATAAGTTTAATTTTTATTATCTCATTATATTATTATATTGTTTTTTAAAGAACTAGATAATTCAACACAAATATTTCAAGATTCTAAATATGAATTCCAAGAAAATCTTCAACGAAATTCTAAAACGCACTCAAATAAAATTCATAATCTATTTCGCTCCAATTTGATTGAACATATTTTATCGAATCGAAATTACGAGTGATCTATATTGCTATTTATTATTTAATCTTACTTATTATAAATATTAATATTTGTGTAGTTTTACACTTTTTTAATTGAAGTATAAAATTATGTTTATGTTTTAATTGTTTTTCATATAGGTTAACCAAATATATAAATTACAAATTAAAATTAATATAAAAAGTGAAATTAATAATTTATATATATATATATATATATATATATAAATCTATAAATAAAATTACATTTTGTAAATAAAAAAAATGAAAAGTGAGATTTTTGTAAGAACCACTATTGTGAGTTTTATTGAGATTCTTATTTTGTTGTGGTGACAATCATGTAACAAGAGAATTACTATCAAGTGAGGTTCTTAGAGGTTCCACCATTGTAGATGCTACAATCTGCATAGGTTCCGGTTCGCCACCCCTAGCCCCACCCCACCATATGGCGCCATCCATCTAGTGTGCACTCCATATCTCTTGGTGATATAGCTTAACTACCAACCTCATATTCTTCTTTAAATCCAATTACATAAATCGTTCGCTAAAATCACCTAAAAATGGATCCATATTCAGCCCGAATCATGTTTTGGAAAAATTTGTAAAATAAAACCAATTCAACAATATTTGTTTTACGTCAGGTTTCATGGTTTATTCGAATCCTCTCAACGATGGTTATCTCAACCCACGAGTGGTGCCATAAACCACCATGACTATGCTCGTATCGGTTGGTTGTGGTCATGCAACGTAATTGTTATCAAACACAACCATACCATTTTAACCATTCGAAGTATAGATGGTATCCTTATTAATTAAATTAAAAAAAATATATAACAAACAAGAGTATATATATGGTGCATTCCGTTCATATAGTTTGCATATGAAACTAGCCGAATGCTAAATAGCAATGGCCGCCGTTCCACTACGTCTCCAGATCTTCACTTTGTTCTGAAAGGGCGTCAAATTCAGATCCAAACACAATCCTCTCCTTCCGCCGTCTACCTCCTCTACCACCGTCACCGCCACTTTCGTCCGAACACTCTTCTCCGCCAGAGCATCACGATGCCTTCGCATGTGACCTCCCAATGCCTGCCCGAGTTCGAACTCCAATCCGCAAATCGAACATTCATGTGTCTTCGCCTTCGCCGGCGTTTCATCGGTCGATTTAGGCCGCTTGTGGCTGGTACGGTGGCCTCCGAGCGCTTGGAACGTTGAGAACTGCTTGTTGCATGTCTTGCAATGGAAAACCCTACCCGATCCGGATTGACCAACACGATTGAGGAGCGTCAAGCAATTGGCCATGGCTAAGTTCTCTATCTCTCTGTCGTTCTCCCAATTTCTCTTCATTTCACTGCTTAATTTTACAAAACTTCAGAAATTATTTGGTGAATTGTTTGGATTACTTGTGTTCTGAAACGCATATATATACTGTCCGACGAACACGCACTGATCTTGGAGTTCTCATATGGGGAACCGAAGAAAGGTTTAGTGTAACGGCGTAAGCGATGACGTAATTTTGACTTTATTGACTCCTTTTCCAGAAAGGTTGACCAAACTTCTAGAAAGTTCCTCTCAAATCATTGACTTCGAGTCAAAGTGTTGGTTGTTTGTTGTTGTTTCTAAAGGCTCGATCGAGAGAATTACAGCGTTAATATAATTCTTCTTTTTACACCAGAGTTCAAAATTATTACAAAATATAAATATTTAGAAAAACAGTTGGACCACAAAAACCGGTCAAACCAAACTAAACCAAACCAAACTGTTTTTCGGTCTAGTTTGGTTTGAGAAAACGCTAAACCATGAGTCAATGTCTTGCCTATAATTTAAGGTATCAGCTTAAACCGTCTATAATATGTAGGGGGTGTTTGGGATTGCGTATTTAAGGCAACTTATGTTTTGTTTGTTTGTTGTAAAAGTGCTAATTAACTTATGTGGTATTAAACCGGAGTTTTATAAAAAGTGTTTGAATTAGCTTATAGCGGTACTAAAAAGTTGATAAGTTATTTTTTTAGTGTTTAACAAATTTTGCTTATATATGTAAAATGACTAAAAAAGACAGTCTTCTATATTATTGACTTATGAGAGTCTTTGAGATTGCTTATTAACTTATTTGATTTTTTAACATATAAAAATTTATGTTTCATCATTTATAATAATATCTTTGACAAAAATTTATATCAATAAGATTAATAATTAACAAATATTAACAAAACATGGTTAAAATGGTAAACTGATAATAAATAATTTTTCAAAAGTCAGAAAAGATTAACTTATCAAAAACTGCTTATTACCGATTTAACACCGATATAAGCAGTTTTATTTTTTCTCATCCAAACACTAGCATTTAGCTGATCACCGGTGCTAGACTGAAATAAGTCAAGCAACCAAACAACCCCTTATTATTTGACTCATTGCTTTCTCGTTCCGTATTTTCTTATTTTTCTTATCTTTCGTTAATTCTCAACTGTCTTTTCATTTTTATTGTTTGACTTTTTTTTAACTGTTATTGCTTTTTGTTAAAATACCTAACAATGTATATGGTTTATGGCCTTTTTTTTGTGGTTCAGAGGAGCATATGTGTATAATTTTTTTATCTCATGGGCAATCTTAATATCAAACCGTTTGAAACTTTCAGATCAAACCGTCATTTGATGGTTTGGTTTAATTGACCTTTGTCACTTTATGTCAAGCCACACGATTTTAATTTTTTCCAAATCATTTTTATTGTTTAATTAACACCCTAGAACTCAGAGCTAATTATATTATGTCAAGAAAATACAATGATATATATAAAAACGAAATGTATTTTGTTACATTTCGTTTTTTAGTATCATGTTTCTAAAACCATTGTTTTAGCATCTAAAATATGATATCTTAAAATTATAAAGTATTTATAAATAAATATAATATAATAAAATATTATATTATCATTAGATACATATCAGA